GCTCAAGTGGTAGAGTGCTCGCCTTGAGCTGAAGAGCTGAGGGACAGCGCCCAGGCCCAGAGTTCAAGCCCCACGACCGACAAAAAAAAAAAGATGGAGAATGAATAGTTTTTAAACACACATTGCAACAATGAAGATGGTATAAGGAAACTCAATAGGGGGTTGGGAGAGGGAAGAGCAATAGAGATTATTCCGATTAAAATATATGCACATCTAAAATACCAAGGCAAAACTCCTTGGTACAATTAATACAGAGGGGGAGGGAGGTGAGAGGCGGAAGGGTCTGCAGGAGAGGGAAGGGCCATAGAAGTTCTTAATTTGTACGTATGAACAGAAAAATGCAGCCTGTAGAAACTGGTTTAGAGTATGAGCAAGTAAGGGAGGGTGATACAGGGAATGAGGTTGATTTCCAGTACATTGTGCACGTGTATGTAAGAGGATAGTAAGAGAAATAGAGACAAAGAGGGAAAGGGAGGGGGGCATGAGAGATTGGGAAAGGTCAATATAAGATCTGGCTTTTGTGTCCCAGGCCATAAAGGTCCTTCCAATGTCTGCTTCCGCCCCCCATTGCATGAGAGTAAATCAGATTGCTTTGTTTATTCTGTTGTGAGGCTGGGGATTGAACTCAGGCCTAGGGTGGGTCTCCGGTGGGCCAGAAAAACTACAGCCGAGCTATGCCCACCAATCCCGCCTTCTCCACTCCAAAGACTCAGGCGCTCAGCACTCCACTTTTCTATGGTTAGGTCCTCTCTAGCCCCGACCCAGCTCTATGATCTCCGCCCCGTCCCCGCCGCGGTCGGCCTGAGCGTCGCTCTAGCCCGCGCAGGAGCACCGAGATGCGGCGGCCGCCCTTCTAGGCTGCGGGAGACGCCGGCGCGCACCTCTGTGGCCGCGCCGTCCGCCATGAGCACCGTGACCAAAGCGCTGCAGGTGGCCGCCTTGCTGGGAGTGGGGGCCACCGTGGGCTCCGTGCTCTTCGCGCTGGTGACCCCAGGAGAGCTGCAGAAGAAGGGCATGCTAAAGGTAGACCTGGGAGCCCCCGAAGGGGTGGGTGGGTGGGTGTCCGGGAGACTGCGAACCTCCTTCCTCCCCGCAGGAGATGCCGGAGCAGAACCCGCGGCTCCAGGACGAGGCAAGCTGGAGGCAGCAGCTGGTGGTGGAGACGCTGCAGAAGGCCGCGGCCACGCAGGAGAACGTGGCCTGGAGGAAGCGCTGGTTGGCTAGCAACCCCGGGAGGTCTGAGTGAGACGGGCCGGCCCTTCTCTGCGAGCCAAGGGGGGAGTCCTGACCTGGACTGTGGCCTCGGGGGAGCGGGTTCCCTCCAACCCCTGTGCACGTCCCCGGCCTGAGTCGGCATGGAGGTCGGATGTGACGGACGTCGAACAGTAAATCCTGCTTGTCTATCCCGAGCTCTGCAGACCCCTCCAAGTGCTGAGGTGCGGGGCCGGCGCTGCGGGCACCCCAGGATACTACTGCTCCCCTGCCCCTAAAAGCCCAGCAGGCTTAGTGACCACATTTTCAAAACAATCGGTCACGTGGCGTTATGTCTGCACGTGCTTCAGGGAAGAGCCAGACTTAAACTCAGGACTTCCATGTTCTTGCTTAGCTTTTTCTCTCAGCCCCGATTCTACCATTGGAGCCACACCTTCGCTTCCAGCTATTTACTGGTTAATTGGATAAAAGTCTTGAGGATTTGGCTGCCCTGCCTAGCGTGGAACCCTGATCCTCAGATCTCAGGCTCTTCAGTAGCCAGAATTACAAGCATGAGCCACAGGTGCCCAGCTCAGGTAATATTCTTAAAATCAGAACTATTCCATATTCAGGGCACCCGTGGCTCACGCCCATAATCCTAGCTACTCAGAAAGCTGAGATCTGAGGACAGCGCTTCAAAGCCAGCCTAGGCAGGAAAGTTTGTGAGACTCCAATCTCCAATTAACCACCAGAAAACTGGAACTGGCATTGTGGCTCCAGTGGCAGAGCTATTCCTTGAATATCTTCCTAGCAATGAATACCTATAGGGCCTTTGGGCAGGGTGGTTGGAGGGGCATCTAGCAATTCTATGTGCCAGACTGCTTTCCTTGGCTTTTTTTTTTTTCACATTAAATCCCCTCAAAGGATTTATTTTTTTTTTAATTGTGAAAATACTGAACAGAGGGGTTACAATTACATGGGCAAGATAATGAATACATTTCTTATCAAGCATTGTAGCTTCCTCCTTTGTTTCCTCTTCCCATCCTCCCCCTGCCCCCCCCCCCAAAGGCTTCTTGCCCTCAAGATTAACTTAGAAATGTGAAGTGCACATTCCTGGAATAGAACCATCAAGTCATAAATGTACTGGACTCCCATTCACATGCTTTTCACTAATTTCCAGTCATTGAATTGGAATCCCAATCTTCCACTATAATTCTGATTTCTTCAAGATGCCACTGAATATAAAATAAAGCCAAAGGTTTGGAACCCTACAGGAAGCAAAACCTAGTCACACTTCTTGGTCGTTTTAATTTTTGTGCTGACACTAGGGCTTGAACTCATGGCCTGGGTGCTGTCGCTTATCTTTTTCACTCAACATTGGCACTCTACTAGTAGAGATTAGAGCCTCCTAGAACCTGGGCACCAGTGGCTCACAGCTGTAATCTTAGCTACTCAGGAGACAGATCTGAGGATGGAGCCCATCTTGTTGTGATCTTTTTTTTTGTTTGGGGTTTTTTGGTCATGGGCCTTCAACTCTGGGCCTGGGCACTGTCCCTCAGTTCTTTAGCTCAAGGGCAACTCTATCACTTGACCTACAGCACCACTTCCGGTTTTCTGGTGGTTTATTGGAAATAAGAGTCTCACTAACTTTACTTCCCAGGGCTGGTTTTGAACCGCAGTCCTCAGATCTCAGCCTCCTAAGTAGCTAGGATTACAGGCTTGAGCCACAAATTCCTGGCTTTTTAAGAGAGATTGAACCCAGGGCCTCATGCATACTAATAGTATTTAGAACAGTAATTAAACACTGAGGTTCAGACCCAGAAATGAACACCGGTGGTAGTCATAACTTTAAAAACATTTGAAAAGTGGTATGAACATATATATATGGGCTGGGGAGGTGGCTCAGTGGTAGAGCGCTTGCCTTGCATACATGAGGCCCTGGGTTCGATTCCTCAGCACCACATAAGCAAAAAGAAAAAAGCCGGAAGTAGTGCTGTGGCTCAAGTGGTTGAGCGCTTGCCTTGAGCTGAAGAGCTGAGGGGCAGCGCGCAGGCCCACAGTTCAGGCCCCACGACCGGACCCCAAAAAAAAAAAAATATGTGTGTGTGTGTGTGTAAAAAATATATATATATAAAATTGTGTAAAAAAAAACCATTTGATTGGGGCTGCAAAGGTGGTTCAGTGGTAGAGCACTTGCCTTGCATGCATGAAGCCCTGGGTTCAATTCCTCAACACCACATAAGCAAAAAAAGCTGGAATTGGTGCTGTGACTCAAGTGGTAGAGCACTAACCTTGAGCTGAAGAGCTGAGGGACAGCACCCAAGGCCCAGAATTCAGGCCTCATGACTGAGAAAATAATTTGTGTGTGGTTTTTAGGGTTAATGCTTCTTCCCTACACTCAGGAATAAGTGGGCAGCTATAGGCTGGGTGCTGGTAGCTCATTCCTGTAGATCTGAGGATCGCAGTTGAATAGGTGGAGGTTAGCAGCAGCATCAAGGGGCCCCCATGGAAAAGCCTTGTGGGTCAGAACCTGACCCAGCTGTAGGTTCTAGTACGTGCTACTCCTACAGTCAGTTGAGGCTTCAATATCCTGAAGTCTGAAGTGGGATAATTTTGCCTATATTTAGGTAATGAACACTGCTTTCATACCTCAAGCATATATTAAAAAAAACTTTATATATGAAGTATTCAACATTCGAACACATGCATTTGTCTTGTCACTATAATGTTCCTTTCCTTTCCATGTTTATGGACAGACATTTAAAAAGTGCTCTATGGGTCAGGTGGGGAGAAAAAAAAAAAAAAAAGAGGCACTGGTGCCTCATACCTGTCATCCTGAAACCACTCAGGAAGCTGAGATCTGAGGGTGGCAGTTCAAAGCCAGTCCAGGTAGGAAAGTATGGGACTCTTAGCTCAAATCAAAAACCAAAAAAAGCTGTGGCTCAAGTGATAGAGTGATACCCTTGAGCAAAAAAACTCAGGGATAATGACTAGGTTCTGAGTTCAAGTTCCAGGATGGGCACACATTTTTTTAAAAAATGTAGGCTGAGGGCTGGGAAGGTAGCTCAGTGGCAGAGTGCTTGCCTTGCATGCCTGAGGCCCTGTGTTCAATTCCTCAGCACCACATATGCAAAAAGGAAAAAAAAGCCGGAAGTGGCACTGTGGCACAAGTGGTAGAGCACTAGCCTTGAGCTGAAGAGCTGAGGGACAGTGCCTAAGCCCATATTCAGGCCCCATGACCGGACCAAAAAAAAAAAAAATGTAGGCTGAGGATGCTCAGTAGTAGAATGCTTGCTTAACATTACAAGGCCTGGGTTCAACCCCCAGCACTTGCATACACATTCAACCCCTTCCCCATTGGAAAAAACCCACAATTTAAAATCTACTAGGGACTTACTACCAAGAAACTGCTAAAAAACATGTCAACCTCGTGACAACGCCAAGAAACAGGTACTATTGTCCCTACTCTACTAAAGAAAAAACTAGGCTTAAAGCCAAGGCATACAACTAGTGAGGAATTTCAATTTATGTACCCCACCTACAGAATAAACAGTGACGTGCAATGTATCCTCTGTAATCCCTCCCCACCATTTTTTTTTTTTTGCCGGTCATGGACCTAACTCTGGGCCTAGGCGCTGTCTCTCAGCTCTTCAGCTCAAGGCAAGCGCTCTACTGCTTGAGCCACAGCGCCACTTCTGGCTTTTTCTGTTTATGTGGTGCTGAGGAATCGAACCCAGGGCCTCATGCATGCAATGCAAGCACTCTACCACTGAGCCACCTTCCCAACCCTCCCCACCATTTTTGTAACGCCTGCCAGGGCCTTGAACTCAGGACCAGGGCCCTTTGACACTCTACTACTTAAGCTACAGCTCCACTTGGGGCTTGACAGTTAATTGGAGATAAATGTCTCATGAGCTTTCCTGCCTGGTCTGCCTTCAAAGAACAATCCTCAAATCTGAACCTCCTGAGTAGCTAGGATTACAGGTGTAAGCAACCAGCACCTGGCTCACTTCCAAATTTATTGCTATTATTATTATTATTATAAAGGTGATATACAGAGGACTTACAGTTACATAAGTCAGATAAAGAGTACATTTCTTTTTGGAAATGTCAACCCTTCCCTCACATTTTCTCGGTTTTTTCTCCCATCCCACTTCCAACTTTTTACTGGTTAATTGGGGTCAATACTCAAGAGTTTCTTGCCTGATTGGCTTCAAACTGTGATCCTCAGATCTCAGCCTCCTGAGTAGCTATGATTATAGGCATGAGCCTCCAGCTCCTGCAACCTGTTCACTTCTTTTTTTTTTTTTGGGGGGGTCCGGTCGTGGGGCCTGAACTCTAGACCTGGGCGCTGTCCCTCAGCTCTTCAGCTCAAGGCTAGCACTCTACCACTTGAGCCACAGCACCACTTCCGGCTTTTTTCTTTTTGCTTATGTGGTGCTGAGGAATCGAACCCAGGGCCTCAGGCATGCAAGGCAAGCGCTCTACCACTGAGCCACCTTCCCAGCCCCAACCCGTTCACTTCTGAAGCAGCAAACAGATGAAGAAACAAGTCTCTTTGTTGGAAACTTAAGAAGAGGAAGAGGCTCTAGTCAAAACACCCTTTTAATTTCCCCTTGCCTGTCCTGGAATTTAAAACTCATAGCCTGAAAGCTGGGGTTGCTCAAGCTGGTGCACTACCAATAAGCCACACCTCCAACTCAGTTTTTTGCTGGTTAATTGAAAATGGAGTCTCACAGGGTTTTAGTTTTAGACTGGCTTTGAATGGTCTCCAGATCTTAGCCTCTTTAGTAGCTAGGATTCAAGGCATGAGCCAATACTGCCCTGTCCAAATGCTTTATTTTAGTGTCTTCCTCTATTCACTATTGTCCCTCCCATTATTCAGGAAGAAGCCAGGCATATACAGAACTCCAAGGATCTATTTATTAGGAAGGAGATGTCAGTGCTGTATCAAAGATGAAGAGGTCAGAGAGGGATGGTGAGATAAAAGCCCCTCAACTGGGACATTTCTTGGCCACAATGAGGACAGCAGAAGGCACGAGTCCTGAAGATGGAAGAGAAGCAGGTATAAACAATAATATCTGCTTTTACTCCCCAAGTTCCTGGCCACATACTTTCTCGCAAAATACCTTTTCTTTGCATCCCTCCTTTTCCCAAGCATGCCCAAATCCACCAATCCTGCTTCCCAGTCCCTTATGTCATACCCAGCTCCTGCAGAGGTCGCTCCATG